TTTTGCTACAAAGAAAGGTGGCACCTAACATTTACTCAGTAAATATTTGATAATTGCATGGCTGCCTCACTAGATCTTGTCTAACTTTTACTTTCTTGGTATTGATCTAGTTCTTTTCATTCTGGGGCATTTAATGAAGACAGTGTTTTGAACCATATCATATATTTTCAGTGGCATATTAGATTCTATGGTATTATATCTGTCAAAATTATAAAGGCAATAGTCATTTAAATACATACATATAAGCAAAAATGTGTATATTTCACATCTGCTGAATATATTAAGCCTAAATATCCAGTGATACTTAAAGGATACCAAAGAGTCTAACCATTGAAATAAAGCATCTCTACAAAGAAAGTCTCATAGTATTGGATTTCAAATGTCATGTTTTCCTAATACATTCTAAGAATTTATTGTTTTGGTTCAGCTTATTTATTTCCTAGGATACTGTCTGCTTAGCTATAGACACTGTTGCCTTTTCTCTCTGTACATTTAAAGTGATATCTTTGATAGGTGTTACAGGTTCACTGAAAGCAGAACAGAAGGATGCCTTCCACTGTGTTTGGTCACTGGATGGAGAGTCGTAGCATGTGTGATTTCAGCAAATGTTGAGATGTGCAGAGAAGAATGCAGTCTACTTTTTATGACAGTTGCAGCACATGCCATCTGTCTTTATAAGATTTTTTTTTCTTTATTAACTGTCAGTCAATTAAATGTCATAGATTCTCCCCACAGATTTTCTTCATTGTTATTTCATTGGAGCTTAAGTCAAACGGGTGAAGAGCCTACCTTTACAATCATTAAAGGAATTTTTAAAAGTTAAGAGTTTGAGAACACAGTTATTACAATGTATTTTGTTGGTTCATCATTAGCCTTCTAAAAGCAATTTATTCTTGGTTTGATAATTGAACTATGGTAGTTTTATAAAATAATGCTCTTCAATAAATAATTTAAAATATATGAAGGAAGATGTTTTTAATGAACTTTCATAAGCCATTAGTTTTAATGTAAAGAAGTTGATACTGTTAAAAAAGCGAGAAATGAGTTAAGAATTCACAGTATATCTTATTTGTAATATTGTTCTAAAACTTCCCCATCAAGGCATGCAGTTCCATAAGTATTAATTTAGAAGCTCAAAATTGTTCCTTATCCCTATTGAAGACAAAACATTATCTTTCTGATAGAGTCACTAATCAATACTTTCTCTCCTGCTGTCTTATAATCTGGCCATATTTTAACAAGCTATAGTGTATTGCAAAGCAGACTTCTCCTTTCCTATGCCACATTCTCCACATAATGTTTGTCTGATTTTTTCGAAATCAACTTTACTATACAATCTTGTCACTTTTGTAAATAATTTCATTGCTATTTTGGTCTTTTGATCTTTAAAAGGTACTTCTCCTTTGCCCTTCATTCCCTGCTCTTCCTTCATAGCTAGAAAATCTTATTAGATCTTCTCCATGTGTTTTAGGTCTGTTCCTCCCTCTCTAATCTCCTGATGCTCATTGCAGAAAGGTGCTAGCTTATTTCATAAAACACCCATATAAGTTTACTTTATTGGCCGAATAGACACAGCATTGCATTAAACAGACATAATATAACTCCTTTGCTCAAACATTTACCATTTAATCTGACTCCACTTATTGTTACTCATTTTACCTTATTTTCATATGAACTCTGCACTCAAACTCAAGTTGAGAGCCTCACTGTCTTCTTTTCCCCTCTCTTCCTTACAGTTACCTTCCTGCCATGAGTTCTATTCCTGGTCCAACTGTCCTGATTTTTTTTAGCATAATCCTGTTTTCATTTTTTTCCTTTGAAAGCTCTATATTTTTATAAAACCCTCAATCCTTCCAAAAGGAAACTTTTTTTTTCATCCTACCTACTGTCCTCTTTCAAAGAGTAGACTTTCATAAACTAGATCTACTGTGTTGTAGGTATTTTGCTAAATTCTAGGGATATAAGAATGAATAAAATATTTCTCCCTTAGTTTAGACTCTATAGATGAGATGCATAACTATAATATGATCTACATTGTAATACAGTAAATATGAGAGACACCTTGCTAAACATAAGGATTCAGAGAGGGACATAGAAACATGATTAGGAGCTCGGTAAGTGTGGCTGCATTCTGAAAAGAATGAATTCTGGTCAACTCAAGGGAACAGTTGACATTAAGGCTAGAAGACAAAATTAAGTGTGTATTATATAGCATTAGTAGATTTTTATAGTGTGTTTACAAGTAGTGTGGAAATATATGAGTAAAGAATGATGCATTCTAAAAATATATCATGTTAGCAAGAGCTATATTTGTCTGGCTGTGCAATTTGGAATTTACAGTGGGACAAATGACCGTTCTTTGCTAAATTGTGAAAAAGGAAGCAAGATGATAATATTTAGAAAAGTCACTTTATATAACATAGATTAATATGGTAAAACAGTCCAAAATAAGACAAGATGAAAGAACATCAATGCTTTTTTTTAATATCTTCTTGTGTAAAATATTCTCTCAATGTCTTCCTATACCCTTTAAAAAATTTTATGTATTAGGCAAGACTTGATAATTTCTTAGTTTTTCCAAGTCCTTTTCTTACCCTTCTAATTCTCACTGAGCTCTTGCTTTGGTGGTCCAATTGTACCCTCTTTTCATCAAGCTGTTACCCTCTTAATTCTCATAAATTATTCTAGTCTCCCAGACTCGAATTCAATTTCAACTAATTGAAAGCATAGATTGTTTATCTCTTAGTGTTGGTCAGCTTTCCTCTTGCTAGGAAAAAAATACCCAATACCAGAAATTTAAAGAAGTACAAGTTGAGTTTGGCTTGTGGTTTCAGAGGTTTTAATCCATGATGGGCTGCTTCCCATTTGGAAACATCATGGCAGAAAGGTGTGGCAGAGCAGAGCTACTTACTTCTGGGTAACCTGGAAACGGAGCACTGGGAAAGAGCTTGAGCAAAAGGTGAACACTCCAAAGATGTAGCCCAAAAGACTCCCTCTGACCTGGCCCCTCCTCTCAGCCATACAGTCAGCTATGAATATAAATGGATTAATAATCCAAGGATGAGTGTAGCCACCCCATAATCCAGTCACCTCTCCAGGGCTCGCTTAACCCAGTCAGTAGACAGTTAAGAGCACCTGGCACATCTATCCTTAGTAAGAACAAAGAAAACAATTAAGGTTAAATTTGCATTTTGTGTTTATATTTTTATTGGGGGGATGTTACCATTTATTCACAGATTTAGTTTTCACTTATATATAATTTTAAATCTTTTGGGACCCCAATTTTATGTAGTGAAGATGCTATGAAAAGAAAATTACATTTGAGAACTGGCTGCTTAACTGCAGCTTCATATTTTCAATTTCTACTTTATCTACTAAAGATCCAATAATAGAATAGGGGGTAATTTAAGATTGAATGTAAAGTTATAAATTCCCAATAATGAATGTCAACATCTTGTATACCTAAAATATGCCAATAAAATTAATTAATTAAAAATAAAATGTCTAATTTTATTTTCTAATGAAAGAAATACATTTAATGAAATATGCAATTAAAAAAGGATCGGATGCTAGAAATATGCCTTCCTTTTCTAATTTTTAAACTGTGTGCATATTTTCTCATTTGCTTCCTCTTTCCACCTTCTAGTCTCTTTCTTTTGTGTGAATGGAATGGAGGGAGGATACTGGAAAGACATGTACTCATCTGAATTGAAGAGGCTGGGCAGCATGAGATCTGTACAATACTTGGGGATTTTCTTGCCAAGTTGAGGGTCATATGTTCAATGTTGTTACTCTAAATATAATCAAATCTACATAGCAGGATTGCAGTGAGGACTCAAATTGGGAATACCTAGATGTTAGTCCTATGTACACTAGGTATAGGTATTATTATTGTTATTAACCTCTATCATAAAAATCAGATCAAATTTGGGAAAATTGAGAGTTATGACTTGTCAAGTTGTGCTTATAACTGTATTTACATATGACATTGATTATTCCCTATGTGGTAAGGCATTATCACCAGGGTTTTGAGAAAATGTGCAAAAGGGAATTTAATAGACTTTCAAATGTATCTCCTTTGCTCCACCTTTTTTAACACTTGTTATTGGCTTTCCTCTTATAGATTCAGCACTTTCATATTTCATATTGCTTTGTTTCCACTTTGCCAAAAAAAAAATTTTGGGGGGGATACCCGGGATCGAAGCTTTGTTTGAAGACTGCAGTATTTTATTCCTCATATATATTTCTCCTACCTAGAGCTAAGTCAGAATATTTTTCTGAGCCTGTCTGTGTAGTAATATGCCAGAATTAGGCAAAAATAATTAAGTTAAAGAGTAAATAGAAACTTCTTCTTCTTTTCTGTAAGATAAATGCTATTTTGAAAGTGGAACTTTGTTATATGTATTGTTATATATATATATATGTATAATTTATATGTATAACATATAAATTGTTAATTGTTACATAAGTTTTAGAAGAAATGCTTTACATTTTTATCTCATCTGTATCCATTACTCTCATTTACCTATTTAAATTATGTCATTATTAAAAAAATCTAGCCTTAAATAATATTAGTAATTTTTTCTGGCTTTTAAAAAAGTTTTCTCCTTGATTTAAATGTCATGTTCCATAAAGTTTGGTATTTTTTATAACAGCAGGTGATTTTTCCACTTTTTTTAAATTTATTATAAAGATTCAGTATAGTGGTTTGTGTTAGTATTTATTTAAACAAATGCCTCTTCACTTGAATTTTAAGAATGTATGTTTTTCTGTTTGGTTCACAATTCAGCCACTTAACTTATGAGGTATGTTAGTTAAGTCCATTTTATCTTTTCAGTTAGATATATTAAGATTAACTGTGATTGTTTAAAATTAAAAGAGTAAAAGTAACAGGATTTCAGAAACTTCCAAACCTTAGAATTGCAGACTTCAGAATATTATTAATAAATTTTGTAAGATCGTTTATTTTTTTCCCACACATCATGCTTCTTTTTAAACAGGTGATCAAATGGTCTGGATTGGATACTATAGCATAGTGTATAACCTGGTGAAAATGTCCTGGGAACGTCAGGGCGATTTGGAGCAGGATGGACTTGGAAACGTGATTTGGCAAACGTTACAAAAAACAAAGGATTATGAGAAAGATACACGTATCCTAAATGCAATAAATATTGCCCAGGTAAGTTAAAAAAAAAACCTGTTCAACAAATTGGTACTTATATCAGGAATCAGGCTGTCCGTGTCTGTAAAAAGAGGCATGTTCTTGTTTGGTGTTAATGACCCACCACTGAGAATATTATTGTTAAATTTAACACTGACCTATTTTTGCTTAGCAGGCTAGGCTCTAGCAGGAAAACAGATCTCCAAAACTTTAGCAGAAACAATAAGCTTAATAAATATAGGGAAAATAAACTTCAACAAGCAACGATTCCTACACAGAATTCCATTTTGGTGGAAAGTTCTCACAGACATAGTAGGTACTCTAGATTGACGTAAGACAGGAATCCCCTATTTTCTCTTTTTCGAAAAGTTGATGAAGAAGCTTGGAAAGTAATGGAAGTTTTAATGAGCAAAGCACACACCTTTAATTCAAGATCATTACTGGTATGGACAGCGGGACAGATGTGCACAGCCACTGGCACCTTCCTGCTAACATTGGTCAGACAGGCAGACTGTGGCTGAGACTCAAAGCACAGGCATAAGACATTTCTCAGTGGCTTAGCTTCTAATGGGTGTGAAGAATCCAGAGATCTGTGCTTATTCTTGAGTGTTTCTACCTTTCCAAAGTTCAGTGGGCAGAAGAACCAGGAAAGCTAAGCAGCCATGGCACAACCCTGCACTCAACACAGAAAATAAATAGGTAAAGGTAAAAGTTGCCATCAGTTTAGTTTCAGGACTCTTCTCTTTGCAGCCTGTTTGATAATTGCATTGGCTAATAGAACATGTACCACCTAGCATTTTAAATTACAATTGAAAAGTTTAAAGCTGGGTGTGGTGGCACATGCCTGTAATACCAGCACTGGGGAGGCTGAGGCAGGAGGATCACTGTGAGTTCGAGACCAGCCTGGGCTACATAGTGAGTTCCAGGTCAGTCTCAAGTACATAGTGAGACCCTGTCTCAAAAAACCAAAACAAAACAAAGAAAAAAAAAAAGCTTAAATTTACCAAGTAGGACCCAACATTATTCTACTTGTATGATATGGTAATGATATACTAAACAAATACCTCATTTAAACATGTAGACACAAAAACGCTTGTTTTTTAAATTTAAATTTATTTTTATCTGCTATATAAAAATTTACAATTTATATATGACTGTGGAAGAAGTGATGTTTCAAGACATGTATTCACTGCATGATGTTTAAAATGTGTCTATCTCTTCAAACTCTATCATTTCTTTATGATGAAACCATTCAAAATCCTTTCTTCTTTCTTTTTGAAATATGCAGTACATTAGTGTTGTCTATAGTCACCCTGCTGTGCAACAGCACCCTGGAGTTTCTTGGTATGTAACTGGAACTTATTGTCTAAACTTTCTCCAACCTTGCTCCACCCCAGCATTAGGTATATTTGTTTTGTTTTGTTTTGTTTTGTTTTTGGTACTGGGGCTCAAACTCGGGTCCTTGTGCTTGTGAGACAGGCGGCAGAACCACTGAGCTAAATCCCCAGCCCCCCAGCATTAGTTTTGTTCAATGCAGAATTCCAGTACATACTAGTACATATTGTAGGTGTCTAACATTTGTGTTTGATTGTGTTTATGATGAAATAAAATATTTTTAAAAAGCAATAATTAAATTATTATCTTGAAGATTTTAAAACATTAAAAGTAGCAAAAATGAATACAATCTGGAAATAAATTGGAAATTAAAACACACTGTGACAAATAAATATTAGTAATAGGAAGAAATTAATTAGCCCATTTATAAGCACATAGAAGATAGAAAAGTTTAATGATGGAAAGCATACAACATAGGCCTAGATTGCCTGCCTTCAAAGTGGCAGATGTACTATATAGCAGCTAAGTGACCTTGAGTATATTTGTCCTTCAGTTTCCTTCACTGAAAATGAAGATAATTAATACATAATGTGTAGCAATGTGATGTATAAGAGAGTTAATGTTATAAATCACTTAACATTTTTGCTAAAGAAAAAAGTCACAGAGGTAAAAGTTGTTACACTCTGAAGTATATTACTTCTTAATGTTTCAAAAGTTATGATTTAGTATTATGTCACTATAATGAAACCTCAGGAGGTGGGAAAATTTGCTTTTAAGCAGAAACTACCAACAGTGAATGTTGATGAATCTCAGATGAAGTAAAAAAAAAAACAACTGCAAAATGCTTTGAGTCAATAAGTAGGCTACTATGTAAGCTAGTGAAATTCATTGTTTTTTTGTGCTGACTTCTGTCTGGTTTTTCTTACTGGGCAGTCTTCAAGTCTTCATGAAATCACTGGACTCTGGGCTTGGAAAAAGTTTGCTGCATTCATGGGTCAAACATGATGTGAGAATAACCACCTGGTTTTATTCATCTGTTTCCAAAATAGTTGAGGGAAAACTTGGTTTATATGGATATGGCTTTTATAGTGCTGAATTAGTTTTAGGTGTAAAAATGACTGGAATTCTATGTGTAAAAGCTCTCATGGTCCTTCAAGTTTCTATCTTTTTTTTTCCTTTTTATTGAGTTTATTGGTACAATCTAGGTATACAGTACAGTTACATTCATTACTGGGATCTGGTACCTTCACATGACAGGTCTTGGTTCTCATTTTTTCCCCTTTTCCCTGCCCTCCCTTCGCCCCCCTCTTCCCCTCCCCATTTACAAACACTTTATTTCCATTTTTTCATTTTCTCCAATTTTTTTTCTTTTCCCTTATTCCCTTTCCCCTACCCTTCCCACTTTCCCTACACCTTTAGCCCTTTTCTTCCTATTTCACACTATTAATTATCCCATTAGGCTCTTGTGTGCTATTATAGTTTTTCACACCAGAGAGACTATTCGGTATTTACACATGTGTGACTTTTATTTCACTTAAGAGTATATCCTCAATATGTATCCATTTTCCTAGGAATGACTCTAATTTCTCATTCTTTATGGCTGAGTAGTATTCCATTTTATAGAAAAACCACATCTTCTTTATCCAGTTTCCAACTGATGGGCAAATGGGCTGTTTCCAAATTTTAGCTATTACAAACTGTGCCGTTATAAACATGGGTGTGCATATATCACTGTGGTATGATTCTTTTAATTCTTTTGGAAAGATATCCAGCAGAGGGATGGCTGGGTCAAATGGAACCTCTAGTCCCAGCTCTTTGAGGTATCTCCATATTGATTTCCATAGTGATTGCACCAGTCTGTACTCCCACCAACAATGGAGAAGGGTTCCTTTCTCCCCACAACCCCGCCAACATTTGTTATTATGTAATTTCTTGATAGCAGCCATTCTTTGTGGGGTGAGGTGGAATCTCAGTGTTGTTTCTATCTTTGGGCACTGAGAACAGGCAGCCATGCTGATCCCTGCTGTGCTGCACTCTGGCTCTGTACTGACCAGGAGGGAGGAGCTGGTTTTGGGGAACATTCACTCACTGTTCTGCTTTGGTCTGGTTCTTTTTGAAGATATTTGTAAGTATGCTGAGCAAGCATTCTAATTAGCGCGGATAAACATGTTTTGTTGTTGTTTCACAACTTTCTTATTAGTAGTGAATTAATTCATTTTCAAAATGTCTAAATTTGTATAATAGATTAGCTAGCCTAGCTTGTGTTTTTGGTTTAATATTTTTTGGCATTAGACAATATAAGTGGCAAATCTCATCTCATCCACATTAAAGCCTTTTTCCTTAAAATTAAAAATATATTTAAAAGCTGCTTGATTTTTCTAATTGTGATACACATATATATGTATATATTTACATTAAAATAAAATCATTATGAAACTAGCTATTAAATTTATAAATTAGCTCTTTATTCATAAAATTCAAATATGACTTTTCACTGATAATTTATCCATATGACATTTTGTAATATTTCAAAATTTCATTCTTTCTATTCTTTATATCACATTTTAAAGCAGGTTAATTTGTTGTGATTCTAAAGTACACCTTTTCTGTCATTGAAAATTCTGATTCTAGATTTCACAGATACAATTATGTAAATGTTTCCAATGACCCACTTTCAAATAAGAAAGCCAATTTTTTGACCAATTTCTAATGGACAAAGAAGATGACATGTATTCTTTTACTTGAACCTTATTAGTTTTTTTGTTGCTTCTATGATTCTTTCAATCATTTATATTTTTCTCCTATCTTATATCTACTTTTATATGATACCTCAAATCTCTAATGGATTATACTAGAACTAAAGCAAATTCAAATTTGTTACTTCTATAATTAGAATTCTATTTATAAATATGCCAGTGTTCAGGGCTAATCATTTGGTATAAGATGTTCTTCTTTCCTCAAAATTTTAGTAAATATCTATAGATAATTACATTTGAAATTCATAAGTCAATCAGACATAGCAAATGTATTTTAGATATTAAATGTAAGTAAAAATCTCATTAGTTAAGCATTCAGAGCTGAGAATAAAGGAATAAGTAAAACCATAACTATTATATGTGCTAATTAGTTTTCAGTGCTCAGAAGACTTCTAAAGACAATTTTCATTCATTTTAAATAGAAAGTAAGTGAGAAAGGCAAGTTGTCCTCAGAGGAAAAAAAATCTAAGAAGTTTCTACAAGCAAGTATATTGATTTAGGCACAGTACATATTTAATATGAGAAATAAGCTTAATTTGCATTAGTTTGACTGAAAGACAATTTATTGTAGACCTCTAGATTTTATATAAATCTTAGCTAAAAGTAGATCTAATATCAGATTGACAAATCCTGCTTATGTCATATTTGTTTGGCTTCTTTCAGTTAAGCTTATGTTTGTTAGATTCATTGATATTTTGTGTAGCAAAGTTAATTGCTGCATAGACTTTCATTATATCAGTATATAATTATTTATATATTTCATCCTTGATACATAGGTGGGTTGTTTTTAATTTGAAGCCATTACAACTAATTTTACCCTAAGAATTTTTCTACATATCTCCTGGTGTAAAAATTTTCACATTCCAGGTTGATTCACAGAAATAGCTGATATTCAGATTTTTTTTTTTTCCTACTGACAGTTTTACA